TCTGTCTGTCTGTCTATCTATCTATCTATCTATCTATCTATCTATCTATCTATCTATCTATCTATCTATCTATCTATCTATCTATCTATCTATCTATCTATCTATCTATCTAATAAAAGCATTCAAACATTCTAAAGAAGAAAAGTAAAGGCTGGCGATTACACTGAGGAAATTTAAAGTTTGAAACATCATCTTTATGTATATTTATTTTACCTGCACACTGAACCTTTTTGTTTCTTCACATTTTTTAAACATAAAACTCTTTTTGGCTTGCTTATCATTTTACAAATAGGAGTCTTAAGATAATATGCTCATGCTTACTGCTGTTCAATGATGTGATTCATGGTTCATGTAGCATCACTATAAAAAACCAAGCTGTATCTCACCAAAAGGGCAGTGTGACGTCAGTGCTTCGCTGAGACAAAGTTTTGGCAGCAGTGCACAAGGAAGCATCAGCTGTTCGCCTGGGTTGGTGGCAGGTAGAACCCAAGAGAAGGGGTCCAAAACCAAGCTGTATCTCACCAAAAGGGCATTGTGAAGTCAGTGCTTAGCTGAGACAAAGTTTCCGCTGCACTGCACAAGGAAGCATCAGCTGTTTGTCTGGGTTGGTGGCAGGTATAACCCAAGAGAAGGGGTCCCTGTTCACACGTTTAAATGGCAAATCCAAACTTGTGAAGTCATTTGGGCAGTATAGTATGCACAGGTCATGAATTCACAAGTTTAAATGGCAAATCCAAACTTGGCACAGTATATGAGTGCTACAGGAAATAAACAATATTCTTACATAGGAAGAGAACCCATCCTGTATTCCTGTGTAAGCCTCTGATGTGCCTATGCATGTCAACTAGAAGAAATCCAGAACTTAGCCAGAGCTGCAAAGAGTACTCTCTCTTGAAGACAGGAAAATTCTATTGCATTCTACTAACTGCTGAGATAATCCAAGCATATTTAATGGAGAGTAAAAGGAGATATTCTGCTTCATGGCTTGGAAGCAGCTAGTTACAGGTAACTAGTTATTTTCTGATAATGAATAATGTATCTGGTATTTACAAAGAGCTTTTTACGTGTAACAAGTAAAGCATGTGTAACACCTATCTACTTTTAAAAGTTTATTTTTTAAAGAGCACTTAGTGGCATTTTTAAACGCTTCTCAACAGGAATTCTGTATGGTTTTTTGCCATTCCTTTCCCTCTCATCAGTGGCCAGGAAAATATTTGTGGGGTTTTTTCATTGTATTTTTATAAATATTTCCAAGGTACAATATCAGAAATGACTATTGGGGGAATCCCGTGTATCCTTTTTTGTCTCTTGTTGGTAACAACAAGGCAACCTGCTAACAGCGCGCAGAACAACAAATTAATTGTATAATGAGAACAATGAAAACTGCAGTCAGGATGGAGAAAATCAATGACTTTTAAAAATCAAAATTGATATAAATCACTATTTAAACCAAAACAATTAAATTTTAAAATTTTAATTTAAATAATTGAAAAATCCTTTTAATTTAAATCATGATTTAAATCAATTTGATTTAAACCAAATCCACCCTGACTGTACTGGCAACCTGGCTGCCAAGGAGTAATAAGTAACATTCTGAGCTCTGTTCTGGCCAGAGAACATAATGATTGTGTAGAGCAGTGAATTATGCACAGAAGCTGCCGACAGACGCCTCCCTCTGTAGCAGAAATGGCCAGTGCAAAACTATTTACTGCTCTCACACAGTCTATGATGAGGCAGGTAAACCTACTGAGATCCACGGGACCTACTCAAAAGCAAATTTGCACAGGGTTATCTCTTCTTGGTGACAGACTCACCAGGTGTGCACTATTAATCACACTCCGCTAGGGTTGGCGGCTAGCCATGAAGATTTTTTTAAAAAAACGCCATTCTTATATGTTTTCTTTTTTTGTTGTTGTAAAAGATATTAAGTATCAAAGTATCATGGGAATAAAGACCAAGCTATGAATGTACTTTGATATTATATATAAAAGTATTTAAATATCAAAAGTATTATATATCACAGTACAGTGGGAATAAAGGCCAAGCAATGAATGTACTCCTTTCTATACAATGTCCCCCAACACTTGCGCGAGGTGTTACAATGGAAGTGCAACGTTTGAAACCCTGTGGCTTTCTCATTACTTCTAGTCTGGCCCAAGGGCTTGTTCGCCTGAGAAGCTGCCCCATTCAGAAAAGCAATTTCCACACTGGGGGGGGGGGGAGGGGGCATTCCCTCAACATCAAACTTTGATCTGCTCTAACAGAGCTCTTTCTTACATTCTAACTTTCTCTTCCCACATTTTACTGTCTGATAAACTCCTTGTACTAACATGTTATCAGGTCTATCCTGCTGTTGCTCACGGTATCTTGGGCAACAGAGGAACAACTTCCTGGACGTTTCTGGGAACCTTAAGCAATGGGGCGATCTGTTTACACGAAGAGAACAAAAATAGGATCGCTCCTTTCTTTGGTAACACCGCCAAAGCACTTCATCGAAAGAAAACCACAGTAAAATTAAGGTGAAGGCGAAGACTAAGACTAAGATTAAGAAATCACACAATCTGAGCAAAACTCGATGTGTCACCCCCACCCTCACTTTTCAGACTCAAGGGGACTCAAATGAAGACATTCAGCTCATTTTGGTCATCCCATGCAGAAAGGTGACTATGGCTATTTTTTTTCTTTTCCTGGTAAAGCCTCTGGCTATGTCCTTTTAACATGGTACTGGGGCTTTCTGAGGCAAAAGGCGACCACAGTTGGTCAATAAACTGCTGAAAAGCCAAATACTGCCCACCGTTCACATCTGCCATTTTTAACTTAGATGTCACATAAGATGTTACCTGGACAATTCTGACTCTACAACAGGACTAGGACTGTGCCCAGTTCCACTCCCAGGACTCCCGGCCTGCAAAGAACTTATTATTTTTTTTTCTTTAGCTGCAATTTCTGCCACATCCTCTACTGGTCAAAAATTACAAAAAAGTTTAAATTTGTTTGGGGGTGTTGAGGTTCCTGAAAAACAAAGCAAATGTGACACCCAAGGTTAAAAAGGCAGCACCTGAGGGCAATTCAACTACTCCGGAGGCAACAAGGAAGAAGGAGCTCAAGTGACAAGGGACTGCTTGTTTCAGTGGAAATGTAACATTTCTGGTAATAGTATAATGAGCCAAACTTGATTCCCTGACAAATGAGTCTATATGCATTCACACATTTTTTTTTTTGCTAACACCATGCATTTTCCACATTTATAATTAATATTTTTGGTTGAACACTTGGAATATCTTACATGTGCACCAAAAAGTCAGGTATGAAGAGTTCCTTATGGAAATGATGACTGATGTCCAAAGAAACAAACTTTAAAACATGAGTTGTCCAATTGGCTCATTTGTATCTAGCACAGCTTAATTTAAGCCACAATAGTTTGTACATAACAACAAGCCCCTTTTGCAGAAAGTGCAACTAAATTTCAAGTAAAACGATACCCTTCCAAGGCTCTGCCAATAAGCTAATATGTGAATCCAGTGCTTCACTGTGACTTGTTCAGCCTCACATGTCCAGCTTAAACCATGGTTTCCTGTTACCTGCAAAATGGCCCAAAGCTAAACTGTACTTGGTTAAAAATGGAAACAACCCCTTCCAGCCTCTTTCTTGCTGAGGCACATTTCCATAAAGCTAAACCGAAGTTTACCACAACAAGGTAATTAACTACATAGATGTCCTCACCTTGAATGGTTGATGAACTGGATGGCTTTCTCTGTATATTTTGCAGTCAGGCTGGCTAGATCAACAGGCTGTTGGACAATTGCATGGTTTTCAAAAAGAGGAACTGCAACCTCTGAATAGCAGCTTTTCTGATGGTTACTGTAAAAAAAGCCCATAAAACATTATTTAAAGAAAAAGTTATGAACATGTTACTGCAGGTTTAAACTGCCTACTTAATTTAGTTGGACAAAGCACTGTTGCCCAGCATGTTAAATTGTACTTGATTAGGTCTACTGAATCAATGGGGATTTAGAGAGTTCTCCTCTGTAAGTTTCATTTATTCAAACTGGCTTACTCTAACAGCAACTTCGTATGCTAAAATAAGTGTTAGAATAGTCTCATTTGAATCAATTGAGCTTATGGAGGAGTTAAGTCAATAAATCCCCACTGATTCAATGTTCCTACTCTAGCACAATTTCCCGTGCTAAGCAACAGGATTTTAGCCATTGGTACACATAAGGTACAAATGTCTACACAAATACAATAGAAGTTCATCAAACTTTGAAGAGTGTAGGAAGAATGAATAAAGAAAATTTCCCCTCTTGTATCTTCAGACATATGTAACACTAGGGCTTCGGACCATCAACGAAACTGAATGGCAACTGACTAAGAAGAGACAAAAGGCCTTGTTTGCACTACAGATAATGATTATGCAAAACTGACAGTCACAGGAGGTAAGGATGATCACTACTTTGGACTACTCTTAGGAGATTTACTTAAACCAGATCTATCAGTAGGTACTACATACATACGAGGGCTAAATATTCAGAGGAAGTAACCTATACAGCAGGTGGAGGAAATCTAACAGAAGTGAGGGAGCAGACCTTCTCCACAGACACCTCTGCCTAATGACACCATCCAACTCCCAAAGAAAGCACCAGCCAGAGCTTCTCTGGTCAGCACCTGAGGTGAACACCTATCTTAACTCCAGGCAGTCCCTACATGGAAGAGAAGCCAGGATCCTAACAGAGATGACAGTTGGAAGACAGCTCTCTCCAGCTGGTGCCTCCATGATGTCAGTTTCCTCTGCTTACCCCTTGTATCCACTTTAGAGGACACTGAACTGTGTCACTTCCAGGAAGGCTCAATGCCATGTGGTGCAAACCCAGCAACCTTCACCCACCAATGCGTAAGCCCATGGGGGAAGGTGTAGGGCAGATGAAGGTCTGCTCAAGTCATGTGCCCAGAGAACAGCCAAACTCACCTGGCTCTGGGCTTGCTCTCTGTGGGTAAAGACGGGCTGGGTAAAGCAATAAGTCAAGCAGCCTTGAGGAATCTTTGCCAAGGCCATGCAGGTCAGACAGGAGCTTGATTGACTTTTGATCTCCCACTCATGGTTGAGAGATAGAGATAAAAGGCTAAAGGGTGCGGCCTCCAGAAGGGATTGCTCCTTCCCAAAATACATTATGGGTCAAAGGGGGGAATTCAAAAGGTCAGATGGAGTTCACAAAGCAAAGATTCCTCATCCCAATTCTAAGGAATTTCTCAACTTTTAATCCTTATGTAGACAAAACAGCATCTCCCACAAAAGGAAGGGATTAACAAGCTTCAGAAAACCACCCATGAGATACCTGAGGCAATTACCTCAGGGGGTGGTCTAACCTTAAAGCGAAGATCCTCCATAGGTGCCTCTAAAGCAAAGGACACACAGCGGGCGGCCATTTTGTTTACCTGGCGGCCATTTTGAAACCACCGATCAGCTGGCTGAAAATGGGGGATTTGCGATGATTGCTTCCCTGCGATCATCGCAAAGCGAATTTTCCCCATAGGGACCATCGCTAAGCGATCACTTTTGCGATTGCTTAAACTCTGTCGCTAAGCGATTTCGCGAAAATTGCCCAACCATCTGTCAGATTTGCTTTGATTTGGATTCCTGCCTTGAGCAGGAGATTGGACCCAATGGCATTATAGGCTTTTCCCAACTCAATTATTCTTTTATTTTATAATTCTATATGAACTCTGTCGCTAAGCGATTTCGCCGCTCAACGGAGCGATCACTAAGCGAGGCACCACTGTACATTATGGGTCAAAAGGGGGAGTTCAAAAGATCAGATGGGGTTCACAAGGCAAAGATTCCTCATCCCTGTTATAAGGAACTTCTCAACTTCTAATCCTTATGTAGACAAAACAGCATCTCCCACAAAAGGAAGGGATTAACAAGGTTCAGAAAACCACCCATGAGGTACCTGAGGCAATTACCTCAGGAGGTGGTAAGCACTCCAAGGCTGGAGGCATTCAAGAGAAAATTGGTCAACCATCTGTCAGATTTGCTTTGATTTGGATTCCTGCCTTGAGCAGGAGGTTGGACCCAATGGCATTTTTTCCAACTCAATCATTCTATTATTTTATAATTCTATATTACTTCAAAATACAGTATGCTGCCACTGATGCTTGGACTCTTCTGATCATTTTGTTGAGGGGTAAAGTCCACAGTTCTGCCCCAAAGTCCTGGCACCCCCAGCAGAAATATACAAATCTTGGGGGAAGAGACAACAAAGGAGAAAACCAACGCACCCCATAACAGTTTCACAAAGTAAGGAGAGTAGAAGAGAATTTCTTAAAGGAAAAATGGCTGTCAGGAACACTGAATACCTGTTGCAGTTCCTTACTGATGTGCCTTACATTTTACAAAAATAATAATAATATATTGTTCGGATTTGGATTCCTGCCTTGAGCAGGAGGTTGGACCCAATGGCATTTTTTCCAACTCAATCATTCTATTATTTTATAATTCTATATTACTTCAAAATACAGTATGCTGCCACTGATGCTTGGACTCTTCTGATCATTTTGTTGAGGGGTAAAGTCCACAGTTCTGCCCCAAAGTCCTGGCACCCCCAGCAGAAATATACAAATCTTGGGGGAAGAGACAACAAAGGACA